GAGTGGTGAAACATTGGAACAGGCTGCCCAGGGAAGTGGTGGAGTCCCCATCCCTGGAGGTATTTAAAAGACGAGTAGATGAGGCGCTTAGGGACATGGTTTAGTGGGCATGGTGGTGTTGGGTTGACAGTTGGACTCGATGATCTTAGAGGTCTTTTCCAACCTCAATGATTCTATGATTCTAAGAATAGAGAGCAGTAAGGACATACTAGATGGAGTTAATGAAATGTTTTGGAAAGAGAGCTACAAATGCTGGGTGAAAGTATAAAGAAAAAGAAGTAAACTCAGAGAATGATGGACCTAGGCTAAGATTTCTGACTCCTCCTCAGAGCTCAAGATTTGGGGTCTCAGTTGGGACCTGCCACCCAGTTCCTGGGGTAAGGATCCCATTACTATCCACTGAATTGCGTGATGTGAGCCATACTTCGAAACACGTATCTTGATGACTGTATAGTTATAGTTGCCGTCTACCTTCAGTTGTTCCTCAGTGTTTTTCTTCAGAGCCTCTTCAAATCGGTCTGCTTTGGCCTTAAGAGATTGGTTCTGGAAGGTGAGGGTGTCTATCTGGTCCTGGAGGGGAGACACACCAATGAACACACCAACCGTGTTATCACCCCTCTTACATTCATACAAGTCAATCTGCACTGTGAAACCACCAGGGGAGCTGAACAAGGCCTAGAAACCCCTGAAAGGTGGTATTTTTTACGTAAGGCCACTTGAACATACAGTGGGGTTTTTGATAACCCAGTGCCTCAGGGAATCCCAAAATCCCTGCAACGCCTGTGGCTGGCTGACACTGACTGGCACTAGTTCATGAAATGTCTCTGATGCTACATCACCCCATCACCTTGGGCTGGATGAGAATGAGCATGTCCTTCCTTAAGACAGCTGGCATTTATATCACAGGCCATATATATTCATATATCATTTATATGAAAGAGATCATTTGGATGGTCCCTAGAGTCTGAATGAGGCGGTAGATACCCCATCCTTGCTTCCTTCACCTTTCTAGGCTTCTAACATGGTAACAAGCAATGATGAGTTAGTGGTGTGGACTTTAAATGATTGTCGTTTCATCTCAGAGCCATACACAGGAACAAAATGTTATTTTAAGCAATCATATTCCTGTAACCATCAAAGGCATTCCTGTTACCTCTCTATATACAACATCTTAAAAGCCACAGTTGCTGTGAAACTGGTGTTCTTATCTTTCATATGTGTAATTTCTTGGCTGTAACGTTACATCAGTGCTTATTGCAAAACTGCTGACATGCCTCGAACTGTCACAGCTGCATGAGGAAGGCAGTGACAGTTGCTGTGTGCAACAGTATGTGCTAGTCAGGGGTTTTAAAAATTGTGATTCATCTCTGCCTGCAAAATCAAACAGAGCTGGCATTATTTGCTGTGGCATCTTTACTCGTTCACACAAGATTTCCAAACAGCGTGAATCACCGGGGCATGCTTCTGCCCTCCCCTCCTTGGGATTTCTTCATCTAGAGAGTGAGAACAGCATGGAGTTATTAGAAGGATTGAAAAAGCCAAGACGATCTTGAGCTTGGTGTTAAACAGTGGGATGTGGGAGATGTGATGTGCAGGGCTGACCCTGGCTGGCCATAGCCTGGCTGCACAGCAGGGCTAGCCCTGGGGCATCCCTCATCAGGGACCGCATTGCCCTCCGGTGGGAATGGAGATGTCTCTACACAGCGGGACTGGCTCCCCCATATTCAGGCAGCGGGGAAGAGTTTAAAGCACAGGTGCATGGCCAGGCAGGGAGAGTTCAGCATTCTGGAGCCCCAGGGGTGCCTGCTGGAGGGTACTGTGTAGGCAAGGTGATGTTCACAGCCACTGCAGGTGCCGGAGCTCTCCCCACCATGCATGGAAGAGCTCAGCTTTGCTCCCTGTGCTGGGCCAGCAGTCAGCAGGGTCAAAAGGACATTTCTTTGCCTTATCCAGCTGACTTTTCCTCCCTTTAGGTTTGCCCTCTCTTCTCTTTCAGATAGTTAGTATTTTGCTGAACCAGCCAAGGCGGAGGAAAAACCTGAGGTGGCACCTTTGCTGCTGGATGCCAGTTCGGACAGGTGGAGGACAAGAGGTACTATAGCTGGTAAGAAGCAACGGCCTGGTGTGCTGGCAGCGGGCAACGGGGCTGGGGCTGCCCCATCAGCTGCTCCGCAACATCGTTACAGGGGTGGGAAAAAATGAAACTGCTAACCTGGAGTGACAGCCGCAGTTTTTCAAAATTCTCTTCTAATTGTGCCTTTTCCAGTTTGTGAGCAGTATTCAGTTCTGGGGAAGATACACAGACATGACATTTCTAAGTGAAGTCTAGCAAACCAGGGTCCGAGAGCACAGACATTGTGAGTCAAGCACAATTCAGGATGCAGTTTTAGGGCATGGAGGTTGAGTAGGAAACTGGTAGTAACATACTCTGTGACCTTAGATGATTTGTTTTGATCTTTTGAAAGATTTCCTGATCTTTCACTGGTTGTAGGTACCTCTATTTCTACATGACCAGCTTCTGATTTTTCAGAACTGCTCAGAATTCCCGGCTCCCGGGGGCTCTGATCTGAAAAGACTCAGTCTGACAATGGGTCATTTACCAGTTCAGAGTGAGTATCCCCAAATCAAAGATTTTAAAATTAGATATATTTAAAAGCTTGGGTTGCAATTTCTTTGGGGGGGGAGAGAGAGGGGCCAGCAACTAATATGCAAAAATGCAAATGACAGTGCTTCTCCAGGTGCTTTGGCAGATGACCTGTGAGGTTTATTCCATCAGTGAGACTGACAGAGCCCAAAGACAAAAAAGTCTTCTATTTATATTACATGATTAAAGGTTTCACTACTAGAACAACTCACCCTGGACTTAATAATAACAACCAAAAGTTTAATAACCAAATAAATAAAGTTTCATGGAATAAAGTTTCATCTCTAAACCAATGGCATCAAACTGTCATTCAGTACAGCAGTAGCACCTACCTTTTTAGTATACGGACACTCTATTTTTTGTGTCTTTACCCCCAGTCCCATAGGGTTCTGCCCTCTAACCATTGCTCACTAGCCACAGTAACAGCAGTAATAATACTAACGCTCTAGTGCTCTGTACAGCGCAGTAGACTGCAGCTGCTGCAATGCCTTTTCCATGCACAGGAGGGCATTTCATACCCGCACCAGGAGCAGGGAGCACAAACTTTGGCCAACAAAGCCTTGATAAAGCACAGCCAAGTTTTAACATCAGAAAATACTAACAAAAATGGACAGATAAGAATATCCTCAAGCAAGGAACAGCTTTCTTTTTTCATTTTCAAAATTGGATATGTTAATTTAAAAATGGTATGCTAGATACCATCTCTGCCTACAGCAGAGGGGAATAGACTGTTCTCAGCTTACATTATGCTCTGGACTGTGTCTCTAATTGACACAGTGCAGAGCTAAGCAATACAGCTTGGTTTGGGGAAAGTTGTGGGAAAACCTACTAGAGCTATTTAAAAATTAGACCTTCATGCTTATGTGTTAAAAAAAAAAAAAAAAAAAGAGGGAGATTGTACAGATAACTGTTAAATGTCAGCTAAAGCATGTACGAAGACATGTATTTAGATACTGAACTGGTAGGGAGGAAACAGCTCTGTCTGCAGCATCAAATCCCACGGAAAAACCATAATACAAAATAAAGATAACAGTGCTGAGGTGCGGATTTGCACCAGTGTGTGGCTTTGGTCTGCTCAACATGGCCAGACTTTTGCTACTGAAAATGATGAATCTTGTTTTTAGAAGCAGTGTAGGCATTTAAGCACCTAAATCAGAGATGGTCAATGAGCTCTAGCCTCCTGAGCACCTAAGCATTAGGCTCTTGAGAAAAGTCTGTGTGTGAAGTGAGGTGGAATTTGGACTCTACGTTCAGCGACCCATGGAGAAAGCCTTATCTTTGGCCCACAGACCCTCAGATAGGCTCAGGTCCAAGTCAGATGCTGTACACACTGCACACAGCCCTCCCTCACCCCTAGCGTGAACCCGGTGGTCCACCCCATGTGAAAGCACTAGACCAACACAAATTTTCTGTATCATCTGCTCTGGAGTACGAAAATCCAGGCTTACACAATCTCACTACAGTGCTAACTCCTGCTCTGGAATAGCTCTGTAGCCATTGGGTTGTCTTTGGCTTACCTTGAATCTTGCAGTCATTCTCATCCTGCAGTACTGTAATGGCGACTATGTGGTTATTTTCCAACTGTAACATTGCAGCTTCGTGTACAGCTGTGATATCTTCCACCTGTTCCAACGACAATGAATGGAGACATGGACACACGATTAGACATGCTGTGGCACACTGACAAGCCACTGCTAGAGAGCTCCAGTGAGCTGGAAACAGTAAAGGGATCTACTGAGTGTGACACTTGCAGCACCTGAGCCAGTTTTATTCATTACGAAACAAGCATGTTGATGCCTTGAGTGGTAGTGTGTAGTCACTGCTGATAGTATTTTTGTTCTTTTAACTTAATGGTGATAAAAGAGGTACATAAGAAAGCAAAAGTCCAAAAAGCCCTTAAGCGAAGAAGCCATTTATGAAATGTTCAGAAATCTCAACATTCCATTAATCTAAATTATATTAATGACCCGACTCCCTCTGATGGTCAGATAAATATGCACAGTTCTGAGCCATCCTGGTTTTTGTCTTCAAGGCACTTTGCTGCAATGATTTTTATTGTAAGGTCTTGAATTAACTTTCATGGAAAGTGCCTATGAATTATTCATAGTTGTAAAATATTTATTTCTAGAGAAACACTGAAATTATTCTCAGCGGGTATGTAAAATGAATTGCAATCTATCACACTTCTACTTGAAAAAAAGTATCCTACAAAGTCATCAATACCCAAATTCCTATGCCCTCTTGAATCATGTATTTTGAGTCCACATCCAATAAACTGATAAAAGATATGACAGCACCTTTTTCAGTGCAGACAGAAGAGTTTTCAGGTTGGTGTGGAAGTAAGCAAGATGACAGTGAAGCCGCAAAACTTTTTCCCGATCTCATATTGAGGCCAGAAAGAGGTCCTGCTGCTGCAAACTGCCCAACAAACTGCACCGCACACCACACCGCACACAGCCATCATGGGAGCAGGGGATGCAGCTGGAAGAGGGCTGTGGGCAGCCTGTGTTCCTGTGCACCCGATGGGTTTGGGACTCCTTCAGTACGTTGTTTGTTACTAGACTTGGCTAAAGGCAAAGCGAGATCCCTAATGATGGTGTTTTGATACGCATCATTAAAGAAACTACAGTGAGAAGTGGTGATCAAGGTTAAGTCAGTGGTCCAGAGCAGTTTCCAAATGCAATGCATCGATTTGCTTTTCTGGGTTTTGTAATCATGGTGATCTTATTCCCTACATTTAATACATTATCTGTGATATCTGGCAACGCAGAGGATCAAACCATTTTACTTTTACGACGAAACAGTTGTTCATTGCAAAGTGACTTGACTCTAAACAGCTTTTTTGCTCACTGTTGTGTTACATAATGGTAGAAAGTTACTGCAGCTGAGCATGTCTTGACTGGAATAAATGTTATTTCACTGCATTTAACTGTCAAACATATGTGTTAGATTACTCAACAGAAGCAAAATTTCCAACCGTATTGGAGAAAGCATATTCTTAGAATGAAAGATAGGCATTTAACATGGAATTTAAAATTATCCAAACTCATTTTCCTAATAATGTGGGAGCAACTCAGTGGTGAAGAACTGTTTGTGAAATCAGGCACTGGGAAGCAGATCTCTTGAGTGCTAATTCCAACTTCGCCACTAACTTACTCTATAGGCTTGATCAACTCACTTAACCCATGTCATGGTTATTTCTGGCTATAAAAAGAAGCTTGGGTGGGATTTTTAAGGCTTAATAAAGTAAAATCAAGAGGAGGCTCTAGTGGGACAAGTTCAATAAGTTGATGGACAAAACAGCTTGAGCTGAGGAGCTCAAGCGAGAAACACTGGCAAGCCAGGATTGCAGCCTTTACTTTGCAATTTTGCCCTTTGCTGCAAGGAGATATGAGAAATATTGGGATGCACTGGCACACATGACTGGTTTGTGAGGAGTTTTGGCTCTCATGCTCTGCTATGCTGAAAGATCTGCCTCACCTCCTCAGAGACAGCTGAGCCTCCAAAACCTGACAACTGTGTATCCAAAGAAACAACAGCTATCTGATGCTAAACTAAACGGTGACTACAGCAATACAGTGTGGAAGACTAAGTTGTGTCTGAAAACCACGGAATTGGGATGACTAACTTCCAAATTAGATGTGTGGATACAGAAATACATTGCAGGTCCATGGTTAGAAGGATTTTGCTATTGTTATTGCCTTCATGAATGCAAGCTCAAATTCCCCCATGAAGATGGACAGCTCAAGGACAAGGCTTTTCTCATGTCCAGCGTTAAGAGCTCTTTAGCTCATGGGTTAGGTGCCTCCACTCTAACGCTGGCCGGGACCAGCGCCAGCTCAGCAGCATCAGAGCTGAACTACTCCAGTCCCTCGAGCAGGCTTGCTCGTTTTGACATGCTCTGAGCTGGGCACTTCTCCTCTTCCTTCAAGCAGGGCAAGGAAGAACCAGAGGATTACAAACTCTTTGGGTCAGTAGCTGTTAGGTATCCTTATTCCTCATGCACCTTGGTTCCTAGATTAACAATGTTCTCCTTTTCCTTTGCCAAGATACATTGCTGGTGAGCAGCTTTCCAACCTGGACTGTCAGCCTCCTCTGATCCAAGAGCGCTTCACACAGGATGGGTGTACGGCGGAGTAGGAATTGAAAGGGAAAACCTGCTAAAACTCATCATGAGATGCTAACGGAACCACAGACTGAAAAGATGGGCTTAAACTCTGAGATCAGGGTCACAGCAGCACTTTCAAAGCAGTAGAGAGAAATGTTTGTGTTATCTTCAGCAATTCAGGGAACAAAAAGCTCTGGAGCAAACCAAAGGGCTGGAGGAGAGACAACTATTTGCCTCACAGAAAGAAAGATGTGTTTCCATTGCTTCTGTGTGGTAATGAGTAGAATCACAATAGATGAGAACATGAGAAAAGTAAGTATACTTCTAGTCAAGTCCTATGGTGACCTATATCACCCTTTCTTGCACTGATCAACTTGAGGGGAAAAAAACCATCATCTGTTCTTGTGGTCCTGGGAGCTTGCAGAAACACTTCAAAGAGTAGCAGAGATAAGCCATAAACTATATGAGCAAAAAATTAAATTAACTTGTGGAACGAATTCCTTCACAAATATTAATGCCTGGTGATCCAGGAGAGGTAAGACTTGCAGCTAGAGCTAGTATCTTCTACCAGGCAAACTGATTCACTAACACAGTGAAAGGAAAAAAAAAGCCAAGGTTTTTGGGAACACCACCCCTCCTTCATATCAGAAAGCAAAGCAGGAAATTTGAGGGGCATTGCAAGAAAACCACCTTGCATAAACTGAAATGAGAACCAAAAGACATGGCTCAGCACAGCTTCTAAGCATTTACAGAGAATGTTTGAAATTTTGAAAAATCTGGTTTGGAACACAAAAACCTATCTGACAGCACCTTTTAACACATCTTTGAAAATCAATGCACTAACAGAAAAAAGTAGTTTGTCCGGGACAAAACAGCCCAGTCGCATAAAGTCTTTGTGTTGCACGTTACAAGCCTGCAAATCAGTAACAACTAGCAGGCACAGCGATTAAAAGAGGTAAAATCCACCTCACCGAATAATCAAACCAAATTGCACGGTGGTACCCAGGGCAGCAGACACTCTGGGGCACAGGCTGGGACACGTGCTGTGTCCGACACGGCTGTCTGACCCATGTGCCAGTGAGGACCACGCTGCGCCCAGTCCCAGCGTACCATTGGTGTTACACAATAAATCTAACACCAGGCAGTTGTGACATGAGTGACATAAAACTCTCACCATCTTGGTTTGTATTTGCACTCCCATCCCAGGAGTGTTTTACAGTACATCAAGTAGAAGCAGTAAATGGTATAATTTCCCTTTTTACAAATAGTTGACCTTAAAGACAGTGGGCTGCCGTCTCTGCTGTGCTGTGTTGGTGCTCTCCTCTCCCGTGAGCTCAGTGCAGGCTAGCCCCTTTCCCTGGCTCCTGAAGGTGCTTCAGCTATGGCTGCACACTGCTGCACCAGGCTTTACCTCTTAAATGGTCTAAATTAGCTTGGGCACAAGCTCTGCTGATGGGGCTGGTTTGCTTCTGAGCCCACAGCAAGTGCTGTCATCGTCCTTGGAAACCACATGGGGCATGTCTGCACTCTGCACCGCACTGCAGCGCCTGCTGTCCGCCTGCTCCCTGGGCACGAGCAGGGGGGAGAAGCAGCTTGGACACAGGCTGTTGCTTCAGGCAGCAGCCCCAAAATGCACACTGGAGATACTCTGAGATGCAGACGTAAAACCTTCTCCTCGACCTTTGGTCACATCAATCCATCTGCTGCACACTTGCACCAGGCTTTACCTCTTAAATGGTCTAAATTAGCTTGGGCACAAGCTCTGCTGATGGGGCTGGTTTGCTTCTGAGCCCACAGCAAGTGCTGTCATCGTCCTTGGAAACCACATGGGGCATGTCTGCACTCTGCACCGCACTGCAGCGCCTGCTGTCCGCCTGCTCCCTGGGCACGAGCAGGGGGGAGAAGCAGCTTGGACACAGGCTGTTGCTTCAGGCAGCAGCCCCAAAATGCACACTGGAGATACTCTGAGATGCAGACGTAAAACCTTCTCCTCGACCTTTGGTCACATCAATCCATCTCACAGACCACATCTGCACTGCACTGTTGCTGCCAACTTACATTGCCTCAGAGAATGAAAAATTCACCCTCCACCACCTCCAGCTGCCCTCGCCATTGGCAAAATCCCCAGGCTGGAGAGAACAATGCTGGCAAACAGGTGGTCTGTTGGCTGGGCTCACATTTCACAGATGACTGGCCCTTGCGCTGCATCAGACGCCTGGGTGGCATACCCATGGCAGTGGGGGCTGCAGCACATCAAACGCTGATGGCACAGATTGCAGAGCGCACCTGAGTGCAGCAGATACTTGTGTGAGAAAAGCCCTCACAAACTGTGGTGCTGGGCGATGGGTAAGAGTTGCAGCTGGAAAAAACAGAACTGTATCCGCTGCTCACCAAATGCAAAATGAGAAAAGGCCAGGTAAAGGCATTATTGCCATAATCCAGAGCAGGATGTTCTGCCACCACGTGAGAGCTGCCTGTAGGTGAGTTACAGTGTTTGTTCACTCCAGCTGTTAAAAATAAGACTAAAGTAGATGCATGTGAGAGTATTCCTACTTACATACAGAAAGCAAAGCAAGGAGGAACACTTGGGACATACAATCTAAGAGATTAGACTGAATGGTGGAGCAGAAATCAGGGAACTCAGAGTGTATCACCTGCTTGATGTTTAGGCTACGTGTTGCATGGGCCCTATCACTTCACTGTACTGCCCTTTAACTAGCATTGCAAATAACGATGGGCAGGGCTCTGCTGGCCTTACCTGTGTTGAGCAGATTCTTGTTCAACCCTTGGTTTCACATAAATTGACTACAATAGGTGGGCTGGGGAGCAAGTATGCGTGGGGAGCAGAGCTAGTCTTAATATTTGTGTTGTAAAACTTCTGCAAGCATGTGAAGACAAGACATGGCAATGTAATGTACTACTGTGTAGAAATACCAATAGGAATAATAGGGAGGAAAAGCAGTAGTCAGGAATATATTTTTCCAGTCATCAGTTCCAGTGTCTTCATGTTGGAGTGTTCAATATATTTCATTACCTGAACCCACTCAGTACCGGCATGGTCTGCTCTTCAAAGGGAACAGGTGGATACTGACCTGATCCTGATGCTGCAATTTTACTTGCTCCAGCTGTAGCCTGTGCTGTTCCTGCAGGCTCTCCCTCTTGGTGTTGTACTCCTCCTGTAGCCGCTGCTCCAGCGCCTGCAGCTCCTCCTGCTGCTGCCTGCGAAGCTGCTTCACCTCCTCCTCAAAGCGCCTCTCCAGCTCCTCCTTCTCGCTCTGTAGTTTCTTCCATCTTGCTGCATTGAGAGCTGTGGAGACGAGACCGTACAGTCAGGCTCTGAACTCCTCGGGAGCAAACAGTGGCATCGGATCTGTTTGTACAGCACTGAGCACAGTGATTCTCGCCGACTCTGGGGCTCCCATGAATCTCAGCCATCAACAAGCTCTCGCTGTCGCTTCTCCCTCTGTCCCGCTCTCTCACACACACATACACACATGCATTTGTTTAAATAGAGGTACTGGCAGAGTATGCAAAAGCCCATGCAAAACTGGGATTTGATAAAGTATAATAATAATAATAATAAAAGCAGGGAACTCCATGGACCTGCAGGGTGACTGGATGTCCCCTCCTGGCCAGCACAGTCTTGGATCCACAAATTGAGGCTTTGGGGCTTTTACTTTGCCTTGGATATAAGAAACAGCATGTGAGACAATCACTTGACAGAAAGCCTTTCAACTGGGATACAAGATTTTCCTTATCTCCTTCTCTCAAGCCACAGTCTTGGCTAAGTCCCCACTTCCAATGATGTGCCAGAAAGGCAGAAGATGCCTGGGCTCTTGAGGCGCATCCTGAGTACATGTCATGCAGGGGGTGTGATTGACCACTTGACCAGGAGAAGGAGATGCATCTTACACATCCCATTTTCCAGCTGTTAGAAGCTGCTCACCCCATAAACCTGTCTTTCACACCAGCTCCATCGAGGACCTCTTGAATCCATTAATGCACACTTGTTTAAAATATTTTTATATTCAAACCACTATCTTGTGTGCTGCATGGAATCGGAGAGCACAAATGAAAGGCTGGTATTGAAGGCAATCAGAAAATGTGAAATTTTTACTCTTGTGAACTAACCCAGTGACCATGTCTCTGAATTCACAAGCATGCCTACAGCTAGTTTCAGGAGGCGCAACTCCAACGGTTCCATCAAGTCAAGGATGTCCAGTCTGTTTCCCCATTTGGTTCCCCACCTATATTGTTCCCCGGGTCCCAGGACAGCAGTGTCACAAACACTGTGTCCTCGGCCTTTTGCTCTGCTAAAGAACGGTTGCAATCAAGCCAGATATTGAAGACCTGATGCAAGTTGGACAAAGTCAGCCAGACTACATTTAGAAAGCAAGTTTGCTCACTTGCAAAGATCTAACAGGTAAGAAGTGATTAAAATCATCATGACCATAACATTCAGAACAACACTAGAGAAGAAGAGATGTGTTTGTAACGGCACTGCTAGACCTTCTTTCTGATTTAGACCCATAGCTGGTTTAGAAAAATGATCACCTTTTGAATATACCATCTGTATTAGCCACTCATCCTTCCTTTGCCTTTCAAAACGCACGTGCCATGCACAGACCTGTATGGCATTGTAAATCAGTGAACTGGAAGCAGCTGTCTCCCTGGGTAGACAACTTCTGAATGTTTCAAAACCATATTTATCTTATGACTGCCGTCTTATATTTGCTCAATGTCTGTGGCAAAAAAAAAAAGTGTTTCCCTGTCTCTTTCTACTATGGTATCAGACTGTGCTCATTTTTTTTCAGGATAGCAACAATTTGTCAAAGTTGCCTACAGCTGTGACCACAGCTCATGTTAGGTGCATCTGTGTGAGGTAGTTTGTGCACCCAAGCTAACCATCCCCTTCCCCACATAGCTATTTTTCACCCTGTTTAGAGATCTGCTTCCGCACTTACCGGACAACAATATCCAGACTTGCTCAGTATGTCCAGACAGATATCGCTACTGGGGTCCTGTTCTGATCCTGACGTTTTCTGAAGCACTAAGAGGGACTCTGTGTCCCTTTCAAGCTCTATGTTCCTTACAGAAAGAGGGAAAGTGAGCCTGAACCAGTGAGCTTAGCACTGCAGCAGCGGCACATAGAAAGCTTTCCCACCTGCCTCATACCCAAAATGGAACAGGACAATTTATATGGTCACTAGCTGAAATGTCTTGTCTCCTGGCAGTTTGGATTATAGCTCTAAACCCTCTCTCTTGCTTTTTGCTGTTTGATTTTCTTCGGCATGCAAAGCGATCCCAGAGCTGGAAGACAAGGGATAACTTGCAGCTCTGCATTCAGTAGAATTCAAACTTACTCAAGCTTTAAATTGGAGCTGTAATGAAGCCTGTCTCTCTCCAGCCTCTCTAATGAGATTACCCAGCACACAGGGAGGGCTGGGCAATGAAATTACATGCTCTAACCAAAAGAAAGTCCATCTGAAACATTTTCTGTAACCTGAAACACAAAACTATTCGCATCTTGCAAATCAAACCCTGATGCAGGTGCAAAATGGAGGGAAGAGGAAAGCAGTGAAAGAGTGTCTGCATGGCACGTTCCCCACACACCCAAAAACGCTATTGGAGGCAGAAAACAAGGCCATTGCCCAGGAAATTTGCCCTATACTGAATAACAAACACCTCTAACAAGAAGGAGTGATCCCTACCACAGTCTCTCAGATCAAGACAAATGAGGCCAAGGACTGGTGAGGAAAGACTGAATCCCTTCTTAGACAGGAGATGGACCTTTGGGCCTGGCTTTACTGGGGCAGGAGTAGTAGAAGGTGAAACCCGCGCAGCCCGGTAGAAGGTGTGTGGCTCCCTTACCCAGCTGGGGAGCAGGAACCAGCATGGGAGAGCTGGCCTTGCTGGAGCCAGCATTTAACCAGCTGCGGCTTCAGCAGGTGGTTCTGGTGAAGCAGGCTGAATCGCCTCCAGCAGGGCCCCGACAACAGTTGCCTGAACAGAAGACCCGCTAATGTTGCTGGAAAACAGTGAATTTTGCTTTCAGACACTGGGATATGGATACTGTAAAAGTGAGCTCCTCTTGTAGAAAAAAAAAATAATAATCACTAAGAAAAGTTACATAAATGTAATACCGGCATGGAACAAATGGCACAAGACAAACAGAGCACAACTGCTGCTATCAGCTGCTATTGAGAAGAGTTACACCCTGGTTTTCTTTTTCCTTCTCTGTAGGTGTTTCAGTTGCTGCTTACAGGCTGGAAATGACTCTGACATAACATGGTGTTTCCTGGGATGACAGCGTGCTGGGTTAAACAGGAGTGGCTGCCATTGCTTCCCTACTGCCCAAGCACCAAGTGGCTTTTACAGTGCGCAACAGATGAGCAAAACCCATTTCAGGCCGGGCTGGGAAGGTGAGGGAAAGGGAGATGTCACTAACGGACTGATCTTCCCGCACAAACCCAGCCTGAGCTGCAGCCCAGCCTCCCCAACCCTGGCACTTTGCATTCGGGGGATAATTCCCATGGGAACTGGGGGGCTGGTGTCATGTGGCCTCAGATAGGGATCATCTGCTTCTGACATGAGAAATGGGCTCTTCACCCAAAAGTGATGGCAAACCGTGCAGACTCTGCTCTTCCTCCTGACCCTTGGCCACAGATTCACAGACAAATCACAGCCACCTCACTCAGGTTAAGGGCCCTCTGACTGGGAGAAATAACCAGGAGGAGGTGGCACACAGGCTTTGGCTTTCAAACTCTCCTGAACACAGCTAATACAAATTTTAAACTTGACATCTGATTAGCTTCAATTCATCTAGGTTTTTATGCATCTCCATACCTCCTCTCAACTTACTTCACATGTCATTTGTCTGACAGCAAAGGAGCAGGTAATTCTGACATTTAATTTCCATTAGTTTGAAGGGAAACAGCTGGTGTTCAAAACCTCTTTATTCCAGGAGTCTCAGTGTTGCAGCTGAAAAGTGCTTATATTTATAATTTATAAAGATGGATGTCTTGAGTGTAGAACGATTGCTTGTCATGTTTTTCTAGCCTTGGTATTTCTAGCAAAATACATGAGAAAATCTTATTGCGTAAAATAACAAGTCCCTCAGTGCTTATAGAGGCCACATTCCTCCTCAGGGCCGGGAAGGGAGAAGCACTTTCCTATTTCACTGCATGCTGGTTTCGGACAAGGTGCGATACTTCACAGCAGTGCTGGTGGTAAAGGTTGGACGGTGTTATCCGAACCTAAATACTTTGCCTGGCTCCAGAAGGGTGCAGGTCTCCCTAGGCTGTTTTACACATCCTCCATCACTGCTATTGCTTCGGCAGTGGTTTTATTTACCAAAAGAAATTTCCTTAAAAATATATTCTGACTTTTCTGAACAGTGGATTATATCTCGCAGTTTCATTGCTTTGTATAGCAGAATCCTGCAGTTTCTGTTGAAGTTAACAAAGACTGTGTGCTTTCAAAACCAAGCACATTCAGCACCTAAATTATAATTCTGAATTAGAGCTATTGCCTAAACAGCTAAATGTTGGACACACTGCCTGTATCAACCCTGGCTAGTCCAGCCTTGTTTTACTGATTCATCCAGGCATTTGCACCAGTGAGTCTGACATGGTGAATTTACACATGAGAAATCAGGAGTTTCTGACCAACACCCATGCTGTTTAACTAGACTTGTTATTTTTAAATTAATGAGAGACTATTTATCAAAGTGACTGAGACAAGTCAGAACTACAACTCGGTTGTAGTCAAAATAACATGCTCTGTAGATGTTCCCTAAATTTCTTCATAGAATCATCTATGATTGCTGTTGTCAAATAAATGACTGTTTCATTCTTTACTTGCATAAAGCTTGGCAGAATATGTACAATATTGTACAACACACAGATTCATCTGATAGTGAGACCAAAATAACCCTCCAATAGCGCAGGTGGGCTGCATGTCTCCAGTAGCACCCACAGCCTCAGCTTGCACTGCTTTAGAGACAGAAAAAAAACTGCGCTGACGAGAACCGCTCTCATGCACATGGCGTTTGCCATTTCATCTTGTCCACAGATTTAAAACACTGGTTGTTTCACAAAATTTAATTTTATAATTTTCTTCCAAAGGAAAACAGACTGTCTAGCAATTTTTGACTTACACTAAAGAACATAAACATTCACCTTCCGTATGTATGGATACATACCAGGATTTGTACTGCTGATGAATTTTTTCACATCCTGCTGGAGTGCAATACCTCCACATGTTCATCTTTTTGTCCCTACTGGGAGTCCTTCTACCTGGGCATGTTGTGTCTCAGGGTTGTATGGAGAGGATTACCTCCAACAAGCAGGACAGATCACCAGCCACCCCGTCACTCCTAAACAGCCTCTGCTCAGCACCTTGGTGTCTCTCAGAGTGGTGGCTTGCTCAGGAAGAGGTGGCCTGTGATTGCTTCTCTCCAGTACACATTCCCACAGGACCACTGAGGAAAGGACTATCTCACACCATCTTGCCCCCCTCTGAGAAAGAAAGCATATACACATCTATGGCTAATCTCCCTTCTGAAGCAGTACAGCTCAGCTGAGACCTCAGACTGCTTTTCTGGAGTATTTGGGGTTCTTACCAAAACTGTCTCCATGTCTCCATCAGGACTCAGTTTTGTGTGGAGGAGGTATCTGCATGCACAAGAGCAATGGCAAGGGCAGGCAGTGCAGTGATCTTCTGTTCCTGAACATGCTGCTCTGTGACCCCCAAACAGGCAGTCAGTTATATCCCTGGCAAAGTTTTCCAGCAGAACCACCAGTGATTTGTATTCGCTTCAGCTGTACAAACATGGTGTAAATGGAAGCAGAGCTCTTTATCTCCAGCACTGTAACTCTCTTTCCTTCCCATGTCACCGCCACTTGCAAAAGCACTCTTGAAAATGAGCAAAACCAACCCACTAGAAAGAGGTAGAGCTTTCAAATGAGAAGCGGGTATTCAATGGAGAGCTTCAGATGTGCCCTGCCTAAAGATTGCACCAGGGGCAACAAATCCTCTGTGAGAGCCGTGGAGATGCAGAGGATGGATGAAGGCAGGCATCAGGGAATAACTGGAAATGCTGTTTTGCTATTGCTTCAGTATCCTTTGGCCATAGGGGCAATAAGGCTCTCTATGAAACAATGATCAGCCAAAAAATTTCAGAGGGGCACAGCAGGGAGCACAAGCTGTTGGGCATCAGAAAAGGGCTGGGCTCAGCTTTTCTGCAGTGGGTTGTCATAGGCAAGGTGAGGACGAAGCACAGGGAGGATCTGCAGTTCTGCCCACCTCACGGGGGTTTGGCCTGAGCCCCCCTTTGCGAACCAAGTCACCCTCCCGCCACATGGCACAACCTCTGCTTAATGTGTGACCCAGCACCTAGGGTCCCATATGCAGGGAAAGCTGAGAGGTCCCCCCTGTTCACAGCTCCAGTCATCAGTGGTTCCACCACCTTTTAGTACTCAGGGTGTCCCCTGCCCCAGTGGTCCTCCCTCCAGCCGCCCTTCCTCCTCTCCATTTGCCCTGGGGTAGATGAACCCAACATCACACCCGTTCTGGGGAGATTTAAGCCCAAAAGAACTCAGCCTGTTGGCTGAAGCCAGCACAAAAGCCCGTCTTCTCTCTCAAGAGTTGCAATGTCTTTACACCCTCCCTGTCTCTCCTGTCTAGATCAGAAACCAAACAGAAAAAGTGGTGCATGCAGATACACAGGGAATACACAGACTGAATGGGACACATTGCTTTTGCTGTCTTTCAACCAGGAAGAGACCTTAGAGATATTAATAAGCAAGTTCTCAGCTTGGTGTCTTTCAGTTTGTAGCTGAACTGCAAAACATGCAAATGTACATAAGTAAGCGATGCATTCCCAGTCACCGTGCACCACTGTGGTCCCAAGTTCCCACTTCGCATCACGCTGTGCTTTCTCCTTGGCAGTGGTGGTACATAGTTTGAGAACAGAAGCTATGGATTCATGAAGAACCATTTGTCTAGTAAAGATGATGCACAACTAGCTCCAGTGTGTGTAGTGATGGACCCATCTCCACAACAAAGAGGTAAAATCACGGTTCCCTGCAAAGCCACAAAACCCCTTGCCACTGGGCTTCAGAAGACACTTTATCGCATGTACGCAGGTTCCCCAGGATCAGGTCACAGGGAATAACTGTTTTTGTGTAAAGTGAGAAAATCACTTTTGTTATCACTTTGCTTGGACTACTTACCAACTTCATCCCTGATCTTTGCAAGCTCGACTCCTAACTCCTTTATTTTCACAAGGGCATTTTCATTCTGTTTAAGGAAAAAGAAAAAGAAAAAGAAATATGTATAGTCCCCAGGTTTATCCCAGATAAGCACTTTCACGTGTTCATTTAGTAAAGCAGATTAGATTGACTCCTCAGATCTTTTTTTTTTTTTTTGGGGGGGGGGGGGAATTATAAAGGACTCATTCAGTTTTTAAATCAAGCTTAGGAGCCACGACTCACTGGCTACAAATATCTTGTATCTATGAATACATGTACACACACTCACGTGCATGGGACAGCACGGGATACTCTATTTACTCCTATGTGTCTGAAAAGACATTTGTATTTTTCTATCATTTTGTGTTCAGTCTGTGTACCATTTATGGCTGGACTGCATCTACAAGATGGTTTTATTAATTCTGTTAAAACATTTTCATCTATTTATGCCTGCATTTAACCACTTCTAAACATAGTAATATGCTCACACAGTCAAATTTGCAGAGCAGATTACTGTATTTACATCATTCTAAGCATGGTGGGCATACCCATACAAACACCACTAATGGCCTGATGTTCATGCCTATCTCCACATTTATTTCTGGTATTTTCTTGTCTGTAAAGGACAAGAGCTCCTTTGGTTGGCCTTTCTCAAAAGAAAACTGAATACTTAAGGAATTAAAACAGATGAGCTGGCCAAAGGAAAATTAAAACGTATTTATGTTAACAATGCTAAGGTGTTATTACTGAAATGCAAGATATCTCATGAGTGCTGTGCAAACTGACAAAAAAAAGCCTCAGGAAAATCTGTTGGGCTTTGGTTTAGTACAATAAATCCCAGCATAATGGTTCAAGCATAAGGACACTTTAAATTGAAATGTATCCTGAATCACATTAGGAAGAAGACAAAGGAATGTATCCTGCTGGGAAGTTCACCAATGATTAGGAAATCTAGATCAGGCTACTATAAATATGTCCTAGGTTAGAAAAGGACAAGAATCTTTAAAGGACATTACAGAAAAATCATATCCAAGAGAAAAGGCAGTGTAGTAGCAAATGGAATTAAAAGGAGTCCTAGAAAGTAAATCTTTCAGTAATAAGCAAGCAAGGCTAATAAAAATCAGGGCATAGAAAGGATTAGTTTGGCAGCAGGATATATAGCAGATAGGATAGCAAATTAGTTCTGTCTTACCAAAATGAAAGTGGAAAAAAAAAGATTTCAGAGCTTAATGTTTCTGTTTATTTTTCCTGCATCTGATTTTCAACTCTGTTAAGAGAAATAACACAACAGCTTTATTTTTTGTAATACCAGGAAATTGGAATCTGGAATTTAAATGAATCCTTTATACACTGCCCTTTTGGGATGATTTCTACCAGTTCCAAGGGACAAACTTTCCGGAAAGTTTCGCTGTAAACTGAGCGATTGGCTGAGCTGATTCGAGAACCTCGAGTGCCTGAGGAGACCCAGGCTATGCAGGCATCTTTCTTACTCAGTTATGGGAAGAAGCCAGGCACACAAGGCTGGGCTCCTCCAAACAGCCAGCTCCATACACTGCTGAGTAATGCACAGGGGTTGTGTGCCAGGACTGCAGAGTCCGCAGTCCTGACTGACTGCATTAGGCTCAGAATAAGACGGAGTGGAGTTTTGTTGTTGGGTTTTTGTTGTTGTTGGTGTTTTTTTTTTTTTAATTATAAAAAAGCTATGAAGAAATAAAAAGGTCTGGATAAATATAGCCTGGTATGCTAAAAAAACATAGCCCTTCACACAGATTCCCAAACCAGCGGTCTGACAGAGATAAGGTTTCCCCTTTTGGAGAACATCACTGCATCTGCCCATACCGTCTGTTGAACTCACTGGAGTAATTTTAAGAAGTGTTCTTGACAGATTGCCAGAACTGGTGCCCTTGAAGGCGTGTGCACAGGGATATACTGGATATGGGACTTGCAGACGGGAAGAACCCACTCAAATTACCAGCTCCCACCATTTGAAACAAAAGCCATTTAAAGCAAGGAAGCTCTGTACAAACCATTGCCAGCACCTACAGATAAGCAGAACTCAGTAGGATTGTTACTATTCTACCTAACATGAAGAAAACGAAAAGCAAGTAACAAAATGATATCTTAGGAAAAAAAAAAGTTGTTAAAATTTTGATCCCCCATAAGAGATACTACAGACTGCTTTTTTTACATTATGTTTTATCTTAGACAAGGTTTGTCCTACCCTTGAGGACACTTGGTGATGAGACCCTCCCCAAAAGAGTGGAGAATTGCCATGGTGCCAGCTTAAAAATGCTATCCCATAAGTCAAGCTCCAGCATGGACACCACCCCACCAGGACAGCGGACCTCCTGGCTGCCTTCCACCACACTGGGGCTGTGGTTTCCAGAGCAGCCTCCGGGGCTATCTCGAGCAGCCGGTGTTGGCACAGCTCAGGTGCCTTCGCTGTCATGTGCCTGCCACGCCAATACTTCTTGCATTGTACTTTACTTTGGTTAGAGTTTTCTGACTGCTCTTCTGGACCTCATGTTTATGTTTCCTGGGAGGTTAGATGTGCAAGGGTTGCCCTCAGTGCCAAGGTCTCAAGTAGTCCCTCTTTCTCAGAGGGTTCTTCTAGAGAGCAATACCACATGAGTCCTTATCTTCCTCTTATGCAAGAGAGATAAGGTGTAGTTTTGGCTAATCATCGTATCAGCCCCATGGTCTCCTGGATGCACAGTGAACTTACAAATCTCGGACATTTTCTGTTACTGTAACCTGCTTTGTCAGTGTAACATGATAGGTTTGGACTGCATGTGTTCCTGCGACCAGTGTAAACACGACATTAATACAAACCGAAAAAGCCTCTCCTTGTTATCATCAATGTGGCTCTGCAGATAACCAGCACTTCAGTGTCAGTGCAGCCGGGGAACTGGGAATGCCAGCACTTAGGAAACCAAATGCTACAGTAGAGCAAAACTGTATCTGACATGAGAATGTAAAGCTATCAGGTCCAATGCTGAGATTCATATAGGTCCAATGTCAAAACATCAAAGCAATTAGAAAATTCAGAAGCACGTGAGGAAAAATCTGCCAAAACAAATGTGTAAGAAACCAAATTAATGGGATATCCCATTGAATTAATCAATCTTCATTAATATTTATCTCAACAAAGTATTTGAAAGAGAAGACAGAGTAAGCAGCAACCTTTGCTGCCCTCCCAAGAGTTTTCTGTCTAACAGGCTCAGCGTATCAAAGGAGCTTTGCAGGCGCCCTTCACTAGGCACCGGCTGGAATCAAGCCCTTGAGGGTGACTGACTAAGGGCGAAATCCAACTTAGGTTTAAAAAGGCTCAGTGACCATACTAGTGACACAGCCATTTCCAGTGGGTGAAAAGGTCACAGACACTGTAAAGAGGTTGTGCAAATATCCAGCATTTCAGTGTGGCAGTTAAATGGTGAGGGAGAAAAAAATTGCTTCGATGTGATTTGCGATTAATTTTTTCTGGCCAAAATGTGAAACCAAAACAGTGGGTTTTGTACAAATTAAAAGGTTGCATTTATTTTTCAGGTACTTTTAATGAATGATGGATTTCATTATTGCCTGGAAAACTGATGAGAATGGTCTTCCATTGGCTGCATCCCAAAAAATGAATCTGGTACTTAAGTACTTTCATAAAATAAAATTACAATCATGATGGAGATGAAGGAAACCACCTTCCTCATACCTGTACTCTACAACACAATGGTTAAGTCTTGTATCTGGAATATGTCCCATCTCCTCAGACAGAACGAAAAATAGAATAGAACAGGTAGAATGATATGTTTGCTCTGTGCTTAAACTACTGCTCTGTTGAATGGAAGACACAGCAGCGACTCTTTTTCCTATCATCAGCTTTATAACATGCAGACCTCCCAATACTTCTCCCGTGAAAGGCTCAATGTCGGACTGCATTTCAGCAAGTAAAACAGGCACTGAAAATGGCACTTATGTATTTTCCATTGGTGCAACATCCAAGCAGCTCCAGAACCATTGGCAGGTAGGCAGAGAGGTAGGAAGGAAGAAGGAATTCATCCAATTAAGTAACAGTGGCCAAAACTTAGCAGTGTAGTTCAGAAAAAAATCTGCAAGATTTAGGTATAACTGCATGTGAGGATCTGGAGAAATAACTTGGCAAAAGATGCCATGATACAGGCCTGAGGATGGGCAAGATGCTGATGTTGTCCAAACAGACTAAGGGAAGTAGTGATGAAGGCTTGTGGGGAGAGGAAAGGCTCTGCTTTAGATGCATGGAGCTTCAGCCAGCAGTTAGACATCCTCGAGGAGACATCGTCAGGGAGACAGGTGAAGATTTTACTTTGGACCAGGAATAATTGTGGGATGGGGAGGCAGAGTTGAGGTTTGCCTTAGAGTATCTCTCTTCTGAGAACTGCAAACTACCTGAGAGATACTAATTCATTAGAAATGCTAATTAATTAAACCTCCAGGTACTTTTAACAATAGGTAAGCAATAGTAGATCTGCTGCACAAATGGGTCAGATCAGGCAAGGAACATCAGAAAATTGCCCAGACCCACATAGGAAGTCAACTGCACTAGGAAGTAAACATGGGAGCCTGGAGTTACCTCCCCAAATCGACATGTCTCTCCTCCCTGCCAGCCTACATGCTTGCTTATATTCTGAGGTCCAAATATATGTACATTATCTCCATGCACACTTCCCAGTTCTCTACAATACCTCTTAAAAATATGTACTGCACACAGATGCTCTGTAGCACTTGTTATTAAAACTGCTCCTTCAGAAAAGCTTTTCTGTATCCAATGCTTTCAAAATATTAAAAAAAACCCTGACCTGCAAATGGTGCTTAGTCACTGTTGTGCTTTATTCAGAGTTTCCTGGGGCAAGGCCTTTTATTATCTTTGGAAAGAGAAGCATATACATTGGGAATTCTCTTGTACCAATAAATATTTCAGATGATACTTGCAGAAGCAACAACTGAATCCCACTGCAGCTGATGTTCAAAATGATCTACAGTCTTCCTTCAAAAAAGAGGTGTTTTAACACTGCTGTTTCA